AGATGTTCAAGCACAGGCCTAGAGTGGCCTAGTCAGATCCCTTAGTGTATCAGGAATGATACATAAGTGAGTGCTTTGAGGGCTTTTCTGCCAGATTCTCTTATACACACATACACCACACACCTGCACCTTCACAGCTTGAAGAATATTTCCCCAGTGGAAAAGGAAATGATTTTCAAATCATTTCCTGCATGCTAAGCAGGCATTTGTTTATACTACCAGGCAAGCTTTCAAACTTCAAGGAAATATATTTTCCTAGGGTGTTAGTCTATAAAATTTAAAAATCCTTGAAGTATTCGAAGCATATGAGAAACTAGTACAAACACCGGAGGGCGGGGCAAAAGACTTACTCAATCTTTGGGACTGCTTCCAGCCTAGGCTGGGCCTTCACTCAGCTTTTTGTCTTCCTGGTTCCAGATGGCCAGAGTTCAAGTGTACTCTGAGCTCTCAGCACCACAATTCAAAGTCACTCCTCTTTCTCTCCAGCTCTTCCCTTTTCTGTCTTGATAAGTTTGCAAGCAGATTACAAACTGTCATCTCAACATCTTTACCTTCCACAATGGGATCTCACTAAAATCATAGCAGGTGGCAAATTGGCCTGATTTATCATTATTTGCATTTTTAATTTGTGGTATTTCAGGCCTGGAGGGTTTTTTATGGGTCTTAAAATGACAGCACAACATCAATACATAATTCATTATCTATTTTTCATAATATCCGTGGTTAACTATCCATTGATAAACACAAAGGTCATTAACACTTAAGGAGAATGAGTCACAATATTAGCTTTCTTGATTCCTACTCTTCCTCTCTGAGGTCTGTCAGAATAAATTGCTGTGACTGAAGCACAAGTCTCCATGCTGCTCTTGTGTCAACAGGAAGACCCTTCTCAGCGGCAGCTTTTCTAGCCTTCAGAATGGACAAATGTTAAATAACTGAGCTGCACTGTTTGTTGGGCTTCCACAGTTCTCTGACTTGGGGACAGTAGATGCTTTCAAATTGAAGCAAAATTGTAAGGGAGCAAGAGGGACCCCTCCATCCCATCCTACTTTCTTTCCTAAGCCCTGCAGTATTCCCTTGTCACCCTTTTCTTCCTCATCCCCTGCCCTGCCCCAAGGGCACTGCTGCCACCTACTCTAAATTGGAAGAAATACTGACTTCTAGTCATTTTGAAACATCATTTCCACAGATAAGCAAAACATATAGACAAATCGCCTAGGAATGCATCTAGGAAGATATCAACAAAATAAAGGGGTACCCTGAGCAATTCTATAAGAGAAGGATCAGCAAAGAAAACCAAGCAGACTAATTCAGGAAAGATACAGAGGCCTCTATATTCTTGGTGGCAGGAGTTACAACCCAACCGAGATAGACAAATTCTTTATTTTTTCTTGCTAATCCAGATGCTTCTACACAGAGAGAGCCCATTCCACCAGCACCCTGAATAGTACAGATCACATCAGTCTTCCCTTTCTCTGGCTCCTACTGCATAGATAAACCAATCAATCAAAATGTCAGTTTTGGGCAGTGCTCTCAAACCCTATTTTAGGTAAGACAAAGAAGACACACTCTGCTGTCCATATACCATACAATGCAACATATGATTAGTCTTCAGTCATTGAATGTGAAGGTTTTATCCCTGGCTACCAGGTGTAGTCTTCTTTAGAACTTTCCCATTTCACCATGTTCATCAAATACTACTATGAAATCCATAAATGTATTAAGTTTGAGCCATAGATAAAAGTAATCATTTGCTTCAACAGTTGGAATGATTATTCTTTTAGGATTTATTTCATTCCTTTCATTAAGTATTTCTGGAAGGCTTACTAATTTACTGGGTATATTTAAGGCACTGGGAGACCCCATCAACCAGTTGAATTTTAATATCTTTCTAGACCCAAGAATATAAGAGAGACATATGCAATCCTTGAACAACTACACAATTTCCCCTCCAAAAAATAATGGCTTGCTAGTAGGCATCTGATTCTAGCCACAATTTACTGGAGACCTTGACATTGGCTTCACTTGTTGTGAATGAATAGACTCTATTCTGATAGTAAATTAAAATGACTCCCCAAATTCAAACTTATCTTGGATCATATCTCCTAGTCAGGACATGTCACTCCAGAGTGAGCATTTTGGAAGATGTAGAGGATGACGTGTGACATATTTCCAATGAAACCCTGATAGTATTTTACATAATTGATGACACTGGATCATCTCCATAACATGTGACAACAAGCAGCCACATGTAGTCCCTAGAAAGCAGAACAGACTCATCAAGAGTGCAATTTAGAACACATTCACTGGCTCTTTATTCTTTCATTACAGTTTGACTTCTTTCCTGCTAAACTGCTCTCTGAGAAGATTTATAATGTCAGGAATGAACATACAAGGATAGTTGAATAAGTAATAAAGTTCTAAAGGAACAGTTATGTTAATTTATAATGCACCATTTGTCGACAATCTGAAAGACATTATTTCAAACAAAGGTAACTAGGGGGATGTTAACAGCCAGCAAATGTATTTATGCTAGCTCTAATTCTGAGTAAATGACTGCATTGTAGAAAGGATTTTCCATCATGTTAGTAGTGTTCTTAATTGTCCACAATTTCCATAATTTACTTTTAAAATCAAAATATCATAGAAAATGATTTCAACAAACTTCCAGTTTTAGATATTATGTACACTAAAATATGCCAGACTTTGGGTTTTAGTAAATGAAACAAATGGCTCAGATGTGTTTCCAAATGTTAGTCTAGCATTGTTTTATTTAGGCTGGCACGCTCCCAGATGTGAGATAAGTAGAGAATTGTGCAATTATCCAGATAATCTGATCCAAAGCACATTTTTTGCTTGTTTTTTTTCCTTCTTGGCCAGAAGTATCTGAAATAATTGGCTTAGCTTTTCTTTTTATACAGCCTGTCCAGGATTGGTCTGAAGGCTGGGGAATAAGAAAAGTTCCAGTAGCCTTGCTTGGGACATTCTTGCCCTTGGTATGAGAAAAGAGACAATAGCTATATTTCTTTGGGGCTTCTTTGGGTAATCTCGGCATCAATAGCCACCATGTTTTCTAGATGAGGCCATGAATAATGTTAGGGAATTAGATGGAATAAAATGGGCTTAATTATAGGGTGCTTTATCTATTCACAATCTGTGGTGCCATGCTACCTCCTCTTGGCCTAGTTTATCTATCCCTAGCTGGTGGGACAAGCATTTTCTTTCTGAGAGGCTTCCATGGCTTTATGTATGCATACCTGAATTGCTCCTCTCTTTAGTCTTAGTGCCCCACCCAGTCCCAGTCCAAATCCTCCATTTCATCTTAGGTTAATAAGTTTCCAAAACTCTAGTTTTCACTACTTAGTACCTGAATCATCAACTTTTAGTGGCTTTCCATTTCCTCCTACAGAATAACATTCAGAGTGCTCAGCCTGACATACAGAGCCCTCTGAGATCTGCCCCCACTTCATCTCTTCAGCATTGCTCTTGGGTGCCCCAGCAGGAAGTTGGTATTTTAGGCACATGGAGTTCCTCATCCATCTTCTCCCTGCTCTGGGCTTTGTTGGGCCTCATCTTCACTTGTTCATCCAAATGCCTCCAGATACTTTCTTTCCCCCTGGATCCACCTCCTACTGCTCAGTAAGACCTGATCTCATTTCATCCTTTGAGACCTCCATGAACAACATGGCCCAGGAGAGCCTTCCTTGCTAAGAAATGGTACACATCCTTGGCCACTTAATTGTATTCTATGTAGGTATAGCTCTTGCATTGCATCTCTTTTGGATAATGAAATTCTTACTTGCAAATGACATCTTTTCTCAGCTTGATGGCCAGCCCCCTATGTGATGCCTTTTTGTGTGTTCCATAGCCAAGAGGGGAAATAATGAGCCCAACTGTAGTTACTATTCTTCCAGCCACACCTGGAGTGAGGAATCCTTTCATCATTTAGATAAAGGCCAGTAAAATTTTGAGAAGCTCAATATATGAACAAGGCCTCTGGCACAGGTTTGCTGGAGTGACTGAATCAGCTCTGGATACCTAGACTAGAACAATGGTTTCATTATTTATTAACTGTGTGCTTTCTGTCTACTTCTGTGCTCTCATACAAAACAGGGATAGTAGTAGTACCCGCAGAATACGGGTTATTGTTAACCAAGATCAATAAGTAAGGCAGTTAGTGCATGGCATATAGTAAATGCCCACTAAGTGTTTGTTCCTTTTATTAAACATCATGTCAAAAGAATTTCTTACATTATGTCCTAGTCTTTTCTTTCAGGGGAGTGTCAGTTGCCAGTAAAAGCACAGGACCACTTTTAAATAATGGACTTTGGAAATGGGTATCCATCCTTTGGCCTGATAGGTAAGGTGCTCTCAGGGTGGCTGAATTGTAGGGCTTTGCCCTAGACCCATTTACTGGAATGATAAACAACTGTACAATTTTATTTGCTTTTTCATGTGATGCCATCTCAGCCCATTGACAAGAAAATAGCAATAGCTGGTGAGGTTTAAGAAAGGCGATCCTGAGTCTTTTAACATTGGGCTGAGACTGAACCTAAGATTAGCACAGTCCAGCATGGAATAGAGATGTGAATGAGACAAATCAAAACCATGCAGATGAAACAATCATGAAGTCAAAGCCCAGATCAGGAAATAACCTTGGTATCCTAGACATTCCTGAGTGTCCATGGATAGGGCTGAGGTGTCTGCCCCAGCACCACAAATTCCTTGTCTTTTACCATATTGATTTGTGCAAAGTCACCTTTTAGTTACATTTATGTTTTTTTTTTTTTTTTAAATATTCCACCTAGTGGGCTGCTTTTCCCTCAGGTCTACATCTGACCCAGGTGAGATGTGTAACCCTTCCCCTCTGTGAGCCCGAATGACAAAAGCCTTAGGCTTTCACCCTTTCTCAGACCAGAAGACAACCCATTTTGCCATTGGGCACACATAGAAGAGCCCACTGGGCCATCTGCCCTCAGGATGGTGAGTGGGAGAGTTACCTTGAATTCAGTCTCAATGTTGGCTAGTCTGGCTAATTCGTTGCTTAGCTCCAGTGCGGTGAGGACAGGGTCTTCGCTAGACAGTGACAAATAGGCGGCGCTTGCCAGTCCTTTGTAGGCATTCATGCGGGAGCGCGAGTGGCTGAACGAGTCTTTCCGCTGCTTCTCGGTGCACTCGGTGCACTTGCAGAAGTAGTCGTGGGGCCGCTCGATGCGGGCGCCCTTGAGCAGCAGGATGTGCACGATTTCGTACTCCTGGCAGTGGGCCGCCAGGATGATGGGCGTGATGTCGTGAGAGAAGCGCGTGCCATCCTCATCATAGGCATAGAAGTCGTCGTCCCGCAGCTCCTGCTCCAGCGGGCTGAGTGTCAGGCGCTGGCCCTGTGCGAAGGCCGGGTGGTTGAGAATGGCCTCCACAATGCGCACGTAGCCCTTGCTGATGGCCAGCAGCAACGCGTCCCCCACCCGCGCCAAGTTCTCTTTCTTGAGCAGCAACTCCGTGACCTCCAGGTGCTCGTTGCCCACAGCCAGCTGCAGCGCATTCTGTCCCATGTAGTCCACGCAGTTGAAATTGAGGGTCTTGGACTCCTCCAGCATTTTCCTGACCACCGGGATGTTGCCATATTCGGCTGAGTCTAGGAAGCGCTCTTCCTCAGGCGTCAGGCTAGTGCCCTTCTCATTGAACATGTAGGCAGGACCCCGGATAGCCTGCCGGCGGCCCTTCTCCCTCAAGGTCGTGTGCCGGCGCTGCATGTTTTTGAAGGTGCTGCTCCCCAACCTGTGGGACAATGAGGCAAAGAAATTCAGTTACATTCCCAGAGGCCTGCAGACTCCCCAGAGGCAGAACAAACAAAAATTGTTGAGATTTAAAAAAAATATCATGATTGGAACGTTATTACAAATTATGAAATCTAATTAGAAATCATTGTCTCAAACACCCAGATCAAGACAAATAGTTCCCTGAACTATTTTTTCAAATGGAGAATCTTCAGTTATCCAGCTGTTCTACCCTTGGGTGGAGGAGTCCAGCAGAGCTGTATGTGGGTTGAGGTGGAATGTGATGGGAGATGGGAGGGAGGGTGTGGGGAGGGTGAGGGGTCGGGGTGTAGCAAAGGCCTGTTTCATCCATTTGTGTAGTCAAGCAAGTCACTTGGCTCCTCTGTACTTTTATTTTCTTATGCACAACATAGAAAACTTTGTGCACCACAGGGTCCGTGGGGGGATTAAATGAAGTAACTTGAATGGAGAAAGTAGGCAGTATTACTTTTATTCTGTCCCTTTGCATCTACCCCAGTTCTCCAAGGGCTGTGCCCACCACAGTTACTGCCACCTCTGCCTCAGATGTCTTGCCCCAGTACATTCTCATACTACAAGTATGGTCACATAGGCCTGTTTCTATATTTCTCCATGAAAATTAAGCACCTAAGAGAAAATATGTGACAGGGAGCAGGACTAGAGTCATTGCCACTTGCTGATGGCTGCAATCAGCCCTCCTGAAGGAGTTCAGTTGTAGCTTCTTAAGACTGAACCTGGAGTTTTATGTGGGGTGGGGGGAATAGGTCAACTTACATGCTGGGTTCACTTCTAACTATTCTTTCTCACTGTGGTGGAATATAGAGGTTAATATTAATACCATTAATCATAGCAGTTAATATTTATTAAGTACCTATTATGTGGCAGGTGCTATACTAACATATTTAGGCTCTAGCTTCACATATATTAATGTATTAATTCTTGTATCAAACCTATGAGGAAGGCACCATTATTATCCTCGTCTCAGATAAAGATGCTGAGTGAAGCTAGGCTCAAAGACAGTATTCGAAGTCAGAAGGTTTAAAGTAGGAATTCTGGCTCTGCCATTTGCCAGTCTGTGACTTTAAACAAGTTACCTAAGAAATTAATAAGGTTTAAAATGGCAAATGAGAGAAACTAACAGCTATCATGTAATTTGAGCTCAAGTCAGTATGTTCCATTTCCAGCCAGCCTTGAGTACCCAGAAGAGGGCTGGGCCAGATGATCCCTCAGCTTCCACTGACTTAGACATCTTAAACTTTTCTGATTCTCCAGTTGACCCTTCCTGAATTTTCTATTCTCTTTCTCCACTCTACTTCCATGGACACTATTCAAATAATATTAGAATGACATCCATTTTAACAAGACATATCTATTCTAAAGATAAGTACTTAGGAATTTGTTTCTAAATTATTTTCCATGATCCAAGAAAATTGTCTTCTTGTTATCAGTTATGTCTTAATGCATAAAGAATACTTAGTATTTCACTTAAGCCATTTTTAATATTTTTTTAGTTGTAGATGGACACAATACCTTTATTTCATTTATTTATTTTTATGTGGTGCTGAGGATTGAACCCAGTGCCTCACATATGCTAGGTAAGCACTGTACCACTGAGCCACAAACCCAGCCTATCAAGCCATTTTTAAAAGTAATCACAGAGCAAGACTTTTAAATTAAACCTAGGGTTTTGAGGTTTTAAAAAACTATTAATTAATCTTATGAATTTTTGAATTTTGGGCTCCATATAGTTTACTTCTCATTTTACCTTTTGACCTGTGCCAGCCTGATTTTTGGTATAAACCAAAGATTGGAGTCCAGAGCTTAGAACTCTAATTCTGCCTATAGCAGAGTCCAAGGGAAAAAGCTGCTAAACTATGTGGTAGAGCAAATTCTTTATCTGTAAAAAATAAAAGGAATAATTATGGGCAATTCCCTCTCAAGGCAACTGTCTATGATAACTCCTAACAGAGAATGGTCACTCTTTTGAGAAGAGAATCTGAACTGCTATTCACATTGCTAAAGTACACTTTGCAAAAGATTGAGGGAGAAACGATGGTCAGTGTTCAAGTTCACAAGCTCCTTCTGAACCCATTTCTTTCAACAATGCTATTATTCCAGGAAGAGAATATACTTGTTCATGCCAAAGGCAGACCCTAGACTGGAAATCCTACAGAATTATTTACATGAGAGAGGGATTCACAAATAGGATGCAGATATTTATTGTTATATGTTTTTCAGAAGGAGAGGCATAGATGAGTTGAAAGCTAAGAAGTCCCCTTATTTGTTTCTCCAAAGACCTTTTCCAGAAGATGTAATAAGTTCAGTTTCCAGGCCTGTCATCTGGGCACACATACACCGGTGGAAGTTAAGCCAACACAAGACCAATAATCTTCCTCATGGAATTAACCTATCTTGAGATAGATTTCTACCTCTCTCAGAAACATATCTCTGGACTTAGCTGTCACAACTCAACCCAGGAAAAAACAGTTTCCACTCAAAAGCATGTGAGCTGTGTGTCAGATATGAAACATCAGCTGTCCTCGAAGAATCAGGCACTATAGCTTGATTCCATGTCACTTTTCCATTAGAGTTCTGTCCAGGAGGGAGAATAGTTCAGACTATAAGGTCAGGGGTACCCAACTATTACACAGCAAGAAGCATTGGGGAGATAAATTTAAAGGAAATATAATAACTACTGAACCAAATCAGCAGAAAATCATTTCAGAAGTACCCAATCTAAATTCAGAGTTCACATGAACATCATAGATGCTGAAGCCTTCAAACTTAAAGGATGCTCAAATATAATTTTTTATTCCCCTCATAAATGAAACAATAAAAAGCAAGGTGGTAGCTTTCTCATTTTTAGGTGAAGAAACTGAGATAGGTGAAGTGAAAAGAATAAACTTTGGGGCAAATAATTTGTGCAGAAGGGTAGGACATCACATAAATCTTTCTGTTTCTATAATAATTTTAAAAAGTGTGCATGAGTGGCTGGTATTTCTCAGAACTTAAAATGTCTTCACCAGTTGTCATGCATTTTTCTGAATGACCTTGAGAGCAGACACCCAGATGTAGCAAGAAATAAACAAGCCTCTCTTTCACAGCCGTTAAAACCTCAGCTTCAAGATACATTTGGACGCCCCCAAAATGGTCAGTTATGCTCCCTTTCTAAAGGAATTTGGCATTAAAAAATGAAACCTTATCCATTTTTTCAAGTCACCTATTCATATGCACATGCAATGAGATGTGCTACCCAATGAGATTGCTTCCAAATTGAGGGGTTTCCCCATAGACCCTGGAGCCATGTCTCAGTCATGATTCAGATTGATGGAGGCCTTTTAACCTTACTGTGGGCTTCTTGGTAATTCTGACTCCCTCTTAGAAGCACCTCTCTAATGTCTGTCTAATGATGCCTTTTAAACATTTGGATACTTATAAATACATTTAGCTACCATGTCTTTGCCATTTTACCTTAAAATTATAGATAATCATGATTTACCTATAGGTATCCCATGGGTTGGAAAGAAACCATGAGAAAGATGATGTGTTGTAAAGATAGTTATTTGGCCCACAGAGCTGGTGGTCAGAACTCCCACTCATGAATCCAACATGTTCCCTTGCTGGACTTTGATGATCCTATCCCCATTTTAGGGTCAAAAATGAAGAAAAATGATTCTTCCTAAAATGCAATTGATATTTGCCCCTACTTTAATATTTTTCTTAAAAATGAACTTTGAATGCAAATATTTTTATATTGGAATATATTATTGAGATAATGAATGATCAAACTCATCAAACACCTCAATTAAGCTACTGTTTTTCTTTTTCTAAAAATGCATACATTGACATTTTATGTCATTGAGGAGAAGGGTTCCAGTGGAAACAAAACCATATTTGAGAGGAGAACTGCTTATTAAACTCTCTCTTACTCCCTCTGTTGCTATTTTTATCAAGCTTTGCTTACAGATGCATCAACCAGTCTGAAGGAAGCCAGATGTGAGTAATCTGTGAAAAGTATGAATCTTGCACCTTAACTCCATGCAAATGAACATGACCATAAAGCCTTTAGAGACAGGTATGGTTGTGGTTAATTATTTATTAAGAAAAGAACTCTTAAAATGTCTTTTAGTGATTTTTTTTTTATTAAAATGCCATAAGCATCAAAAGTCTCTGTGAAAATTATTCAAGCCTGAAATCAATTCAGTCTATGACATTCCCCAGCTGAATGTAGAATCAAACAAAATCCAGGAGTCAGATCAGTTACCCAGGAAAACCCAGCTTTGGCCTGTATACCTTCTGAGTTTTAGTGAGAGTGATAAAATAGTAAAGTGATCTGCAGTCTTTTCCTAAACCTCAGTTCTCTCACCATTATAAAGGGAGTAATAAAATTCATCTCTCATGTTTCTTAGGACCACATTAAAGATTAAATAGTGCATGCCAAATGCCCTGAACACTATAAAGCTTTATACAAATATTCATGACAATAATGATAAAAATCTTGCATATTGATACACTTAAGTACCAATATACTTAAGCACAAAATTATTTAAATTGATTCAGATTTTACCCTTCACTGATATACTCAGCTTCACTACATTTTAAAATGACTATGTAACAGTGATAGTTAACATATATTATACATTTATCATGTGACAGACACTATAAGTGATTTATATGAATTATTGTTTTAAATAAATTATCATATGATAAGCTTAGCTATTTTCTTAAATGACTACTCAATCATAATGATTAACATTTATTACACATTAACTATGTGCCAACCTTCATGCTGAGTATTTTACATGCATTATCATTTTAAGTTCTCACAAACTACTTCAGTACTATTCAGTACTACTACTTAGGTACTATTTTCATTCTGTTTTAACAGATGATGAAATGATGTAAGATATATTAACCATATTTCTCAGATGATAGAACTTGTTAGTGGTGCACCTACTATTCGGAGTCTAGACTGTCTGATTT